GTGATAAATCTAATCTCCATCACTTAATCATGTTGACCACCCCAATGAAATATTTTTGTGTGCCTTAAAAGTATCTTGCCTTCCTTTTCCTGGGACTCTCTTATTGAATTAGGTGGATACATGAAGCTTTCTTTTACCAAGGCAATGAGGCCAAGTAAAAGTTTGACTCCTTTTACATTTATTTAAGTTTTATGGTGTTGAACTTTGAGATTTGTTTCCTCCCACTTAGTTGTTATGCTCTTCCATGCAGTTGAAGGGTCACAAGCTTTTTGCGTGGTCTATATCGTAGATACCATTACCTACTTAGTTTCAGACGCAGGATCAAATCCATTATTTATCTGTCCACAATACAACAACATCACAATGATTTGTTACATTGTTATATTTTTTTCTTTCTGATTTCCAGGAAAGCACTCATAAGAGAACTTGATATGTTTTTCTATAGAACTAAAAAGATAAGGAACCTAGCTTGGCTGACTACATCTGGCATTAGAAATGCTTCCTTAGAAGACAAGGGAGTTCAGCTTAGTGACACTAAAGAATGTCATTTAATATTGACTTGTCTAAAAATCCCAAGGTCTGGACTTTTTCCATTCATAATATCTGTAATTACCAATCTTTGTCTTTGCTTCAGACTCAGAAAGTGCAAGAAATCCAACAACCCTTTACTACACTTCCATGTCTCCCTGAGCTCTTTTCAAAGGACCTTTTGGTTTTCCATAAGAAGCATTTAGTTCTTTAATTGCATGTTAAACTTCTAGCTTAGTGGCTAGAGAGAGCCAGAACTAGCGCAATTAAACATGAGCGGTAGTTCCAGGTTCACGTTCATCACCTTGATCAGTTGTAAATTGTAGGCTAGAGAAAACTAGCAAGAAAACAGAGGGAGACATCTGGGCCACCTATTTAGCTCTCCTCCAAGAGAGCCTAAGAGAGAAGTCATGTGGAGGAGTGAGGCGGGTTTGATGTACAGCAACCACTGCAGGTCTGGGCTGCTTTGCTGAGCAGAGACTGACAGCCTGAGCTACGTACATCATCCAACGCCTGTGGGTGCCACTGAAGCAATATTTCTGTTGCAGGGCTGGGAATGCCCATTTCTCTGTAGTTGATTAAGGAGTAATTTTACTGTGTCTACTGTCTGAGTTGACCACTAGATCCTGGCTGGCTGTTGACTCTATTTACCACTCTGGAGGAATGGCTATGAAAAGGAAGGATTCTTCCTTTGAGACCCTAACTGAATGACTGGCCTCTCTAAGTCTTGTGAATCAGTTGTCCCTGTCTCACACACACAAAAAAGGTTATGTTATTTTGACCAGACTTATGAGTGACTTCAATAGATTTACACTAGAAAAAAAGTCATTCTTCTATATTGCCTAGGAATCCCTTAAGGGTACAGTACAATATTTCATAGTACTTGGTAGTACTATTATTAATAGTACTATTACTAGTACTTAATAGTACCAATAGTACTTAACAGTACAGTACAGGGTTCAGCATACTTTTTTTTATACAGGGCCAGATAGTAAATATTTCAATCTTTGCCGGCCACACGGTCTCTGTTGTAATTACTCAGCTCTGCTAGTGCATGTGGAAGCAGCCATAGGCAATACACAGACAAATGGCTGTGGCTGTGTTCCAATAAAACTTTATTTGTGGACATTGAAATTTGAATTTAGGATGATTTTCAAATGTCACAAAATATTCTTCTTTTCTTTTATTCCAATTATTAAAACATGTAAAAATCACTTTTAGCTCACAAGTGGTCCAATAACAGGCAGCAGACCAGATTTTTTTTTTTTTTTAAGCAGATTTGGTTTGCCAAAATTTTTTGTAGTAAAAATAGCCCACAGCTTAGGACCTTGTGACCTGGATTTGAGACAAGGAGCTATGATTCACTGGCCTTGTAAACTTGGCCAATTTGCCCAAACCCTAGTTTTCCCTTTATAAAATGTAAATTATAATACTCAGCCTCTCATGGTGAATCAGAATGAAATAAGATAATTTGTACAAGTGCTCTTAATGCTCTCAAACACCATACCATGTTGGGTAAAATATCATTTTGTTATTATTATACATTCTGTGATTTATCAAAATATCTTAGCAGCCTTCTGACAGAATTTTGACTTCTAGATGACACTCTGCATCTAAAGCACTCAAGACATTGAAGGCAGAACTATTAGGAAGAGGTGTGCTTTACTCAATTTTAAATTAAAGGCTAACATTTTCTTAAATACAGGTTGGCCATAAAGTTTAGAAACAAGATAATGTTATTTTAGTGTATTGTAATGTAATATCAATGAATCATCTATTATGTATATGTTACCTATGTTTTTCAATGTTAAAGCCATCCATTGAAAGGAAGAAGATAATGTTTACCATATATAGAGGACACTGAACTTTCAACTACCTTCCTGACATTTCTAAATCATACAGAGTATCACCCAAGTCAAGGAAAGAAAGACTAAAGAGTAGCCAGACTATTAGCAAACTGTTTTGGAAATGATTTACTATGAGTATTTTAACCGTATTCTCTCAGCAAATCAAATGATTTCCTATTCTTCTGGTGAGTTCAGGTAGTTTTCTAACAGCTTTCTTATGCCCCCTTTTTCTGTCCACCAGTTCCCACCTTTGTAAGCAGCTTCTAAATTTCCCAAAGACACTGGCCTAAATCTAAATAAAAAAGCAAAGGGGAAAAAAGTGAGAAACGTGGAATGTAAGAAAATGTGGGGATGGAAAGCATAAGAATGTTGCTCTGGAGAATTCAAAATTTAGACTATTAAGTCATGAATAGTTTTAAAATTAGAATGCAATGAAAAATAGACATTTCAGAGCCCTAGCTTGGTTAAACCTGCAAGAGAAAATTGTGCTTAAGAAATTGGTTGACATTTGCAGCTGGATTTCTGTTAGGGAACATAAGGTACTGAACTAAAACAGTAGAATTAGAACTGGAGAACCAGATAAAGAACAAAGGGTGGGGACAGATGGAGGAAGGGAGTTGGGGAAGAAAGAGTTCTGCCTCATGGACATAGATGGGATATAAACCAGGCTGGAGGGCCATGTTTGAAGGAACAGAAAAGTTGACATTTGCTATGTTAATGCAAAAGAGTATATAGCTTGCCCAGGGGACAGCTAAAACATAAATGATTTTATTGGTTCCAGAAAGTTGATTTATAAATGAATGGGTGCTTTTCCAGTTGGAAAGCACGTTGGGGTGGGCGGAGGTGAGAATCCAAGGAACTCAGCAGCTTTGTGGTGGGGGTCATGTTTGCACCTGAACCTGCCCTTCCATCCAGGAGCACTTTGTTCTGTCAGATTGGGGTCACTGTGGCAAACCATACCCTTAAATTCCAAATTCTTATCTGGCTCACGGATCCCACCATGCTTTATGGAAAAGTGACTGAAATGCTTTAACCAAACAGACCAAAGGATCAAGTTGAGAGTGATCTTCATTGGTTATGGATACTGTTGTATTAAAAGAGACTTTTAAAAAATTCTCATTGCACTTGGTTTGCTAATGGAGTGACTGAGGGAATGAGGACTGGATATTGGAGAATAGAATGAGTGGAAATGGTGGGGTCAATTTTGTTGAACTGTCTTAATGGAAAACACCATTCACTCACTACTTGCTGCTTAGAAAATCAGTCTCAATGAACTTTCAGTTCCAAATTTTAACGGTTGACACAAAATACACTGTTAAACTGTGTTAACAACTGTAGAAAAATAGACATGTTTGATAGGGACATTCTAGTAAAAGGTTCTTCAGGAGCATCCTCATTTAAAGATTCAGAGGCTCACATTACAAAAATGAGATTTGGTTCAAGTTCTGTCTCCAACTACATTGACAACAAAGACAGTGAGAAACAGGGAGAGACCTCACATCTGGGTGCCCGTCACAGACACAGAACTGACAGGTGCACGTGGCCAACGTGTTGTCAAGGCTCTTCGTTCAGTTGTGCTAAAGGGCAGGCAAGCAGGGATCAGGCCCTGAGCTGCTCTTCCAACCAGACACCAGGTTGTGCGCTGTCCTTTAAACCTTAGCAATGGAATTAAAAAGGCCCAGTGAGTCTTCAAGAGCTAAATTAGAAGACATTTTGCAGCCCCTACTCCATCTCGTTTCATACCTGCCATGGCCTGCCCTGCAACCCTGGCAAGGGGGCAGGGGAGCTCCCCAAGCCAAGAGTGTCCTTCGTTAGGCTGCCTCGAGGTCAGGCCATGGCTCCTCCTCACAGCCTCAAGGGCAGTGTATCGAGCTTCCTCCTCCCGGATCACCACCTCCTTCTTAGAGTGTGTGAAATAAAGAAACGATTCAACAGAGATTCAATGCAAAAAAGGAAATGCTGGCAAACAGGAAAGGGCTATGGCCAACAGTTTTGTCTTCCTTGAAGTCAGTGCCAAGAGGCAGTTGTCCTGATCCAACGTCTCTGAGATGGGAGAAGAGAGGCCCCGAGGTTATATTTAGGAGCCACTTTCCTTATCCTGGGACTTCTTTTTTAGTAGACGAGGTCCCCAGACTACAGCAAAGGCCTGTGCAATCAGGTCAGGGAAGGCAAGGGAAACAAAGAGGGACAGCTAGTTTGATCTCTTTGACCTCCATGGTGCAGAGCCTCAAACTGAGCACAGCTGTAGGAGCTGAAAATAAACTTGGATCCATTCAATGAATATTTATGATGGGCAACTGTGTTAAAGAACAAACAGCTTATAAATGCAAAATTAATGTGAAATATCTGTTACAGTGCAAAATCTCCACCTGCCCCGGAGGTTTGAGCTAAGATTTGTTTTGTTATGTTTTTCATTTTAAAATTCAGATTTCCAGTACAAATACCCTTCCTTCCTTCCTTCCTTCCTTCCTTCCTTCCTTCTTTCTTTCCTTCCTTCCTTCCTTCCTTCCTTCCTTCCTTCCTTCCTTCCTTCCTTCCTTCCTTCCTTCCTTCCTTCCTTCCTTCTTTCCTTCCTTCCTTCCTTTTTGCAGATTAAAGTGATTTAAGGCTGGAGTTTTTTGTTTGTTTTCTTTTGATTGAGAGACACTTTGGATTTGATTTCTAACCTGTGGCGTACTCTGGAGACATTTCTTAGACAATCATCAAGATTGTTGATCTAATCTTTGAATACTGAACTCTGGTCATTTCAAAATAATAAAAGAATAAAAATAAAAGATCACAATGCAAGAAATGCTGATGGATAAGCCCCAGGGACAGGCGAGATGTCATTCTCAGAACACCAGATAGAGTCAAAGCGTGAGAGGTCGATGATTATAATGCATGTCACTCACTACATGCCTTCGTGAATTTCATGGCTTTAGACCCAAACCATCTTGCGCTAACTTACCCTGTCTCATTGTAACAGTCTGTAGAGAAACTACAGCTGGAGAATCAATGGTTTTGCAGAAAAGTTTCCTAAATTATTGTACTACAAAGGGCAAGAGCTCATGTGAAAAGTAAAAACATACCTTTGGTGACATGCTAGAGAATATCTCCTTCCTGGTATTCCCCCTCCTCCAGGCCAGTTAGTGAGGCCCTTGTTATCTTTTAAAAAAAGACATCTGTTTTGTAACATTTCACAGTATATCAGCATATTGGTGGTGGGTTTTGTCATCTACCAGATCTCTCAATTTCCCCCAGACCTATGGCTTATTAGATTCAATGAAAGGATCAGCATGGGAACAGTGAGGTACCCTAACGGCTGCCAGTCTGAGACACAAACAAAGGCTGTGCACTGAAGGGCCAGCCGTCAACGGGATCAAAATAACCTGGAAAACACAGACATCAAAACAGAAACGCCTACTGCATGTTAGGAATCTTTCTTTCTTTCTTTTTTTTTTTTTTTTTGGCTTCTTATTTCTAAAGTTATATATCTAAACCTACATTAATGATACATCTATGTACAGTATTTAGAAGTTCTGTTCTATGGTACTTTTGTACATGCTGGGTTTTATTACTAACTACAAAAAGAAAATAATTACATAAGGCATATATATGTACAGTGGTTTGTCTTCAGCTCACCTGGGCCCTGTAACTGCCACGCCCACACGGGGGCAAGCACCTCACCCTGTAGTAGATGAAAAGAATTGGGATCTATAAAACTGAGGGCTCCACTCTGTGTCTTACTGAATGAATAAATAGGCACCGGAAACCTTGCTTGTCATATCCCAGGTAAAATCTTTGACACACCTTTTTGAGTGATCTGGTATTATACAACACATGCAGGTAAGTAACTGAAATCTCCAGGAGTTGGACGTGTAGTATTTTGGGAGGAGACCAGGCTTGGGCCACAAACGAGAGCACTTTGCACCTTCATCAAATCCACGTCTACCTTGTCAATCTAAACAACTGAGAGAGGGCAGGTAGATATTTTACACCTTGAAGATTTGTTTTCTGGTCATGTAAAAATTAAATATAAATAAAGAACAAAGCAAGAGAGACAAAAAAGAAAGAGAATGAGAGACAAGGAAAGATTGTGTCGGGGGGAGAAGAGAAGGGGTTGCCCAGCTAGGGCACTAAACTTTGGATTCATTCTCCAGGTTTGCCACATCACCATTTCTTTCTGTTTGCTCTTCAAGGTTCTTTTCTTCCTCTTCAGTCTCCAGTTCTGCATGTTGGTTGAGTTTGCTGGATACAGACCAACTCAGGGGCAGCTCTGCCCTGCTGGCTAACTCGGCCAGCTCTTTGGCACTAAGGGATGGGGTGCTGGTCTCATAGGTCTCATGGAAGCTGTTGTAGTCAACTTCGTAGAACCCATCCTCCAGGGTCAGGACAGGTGTGAACCGGTAACCCCACAGGATCTCACTGGTGATGTAGGAGCTTCGAGCTTGGCATGTCATCCCTGCAGAGAGAAGAATGGAGGCTTTAGCATATGTGAGTGTGGGCTTTCCATGGCCAAGGAGTCACAGAGAGCCGGGAGGAGTACTGCATGCAGCTGTTGAGACTGACCTGCATAGAGTGCCACAACTTAGTAGGTGTCATTCACATTGTAGACACATGCTAATGTGCCATGGAGATTCCAGGCCTCTTAGGGGAGTCCTGGGGAACAATGAGAGAGTCCTGGCTCACATCAAGCCACATTTGCCTGCATGGCCATGCACACACAAAGGAAATCAAGTGTGCAAATGCACACAAGTGTTTGCATGTGTGTGGCTATGTCTGGTCCACTCTTTGTTCTGGGAGAACCCTGAAGCCATGACTCTGGCCTCCTACTGCTCTTGGAGACTTAGCCTGGGTTCTGATGGTATTTGAACTCTTTAGCCACAGACTTAGAATGCAATTTCATATACAGAACTACACTTAGGCTGCTTTTAAGCTAGAGACCACAGATCAGTGTTACCCTCCCACCTGCCATTAATACACAGGCCATGACTGTGGCCCCCAGATGCAGTTGGAAGGATTACCCACCTGAATTTGCACTTTCCTTAGGCCCAGTGGTCATAGTTACTCAGATTGTGCAATCATAACCATTTTAAAAGTTTTTCCCCCCCTTTTGTTTTGAGATGGAGTCTTCCTCTGTTGCCCAGGCTGGAGTGCAGTGGTTCCGATCTCGGCTGACTGCAAACTCTGCCTTCCGGGTCTAAGCAATTCTCCTGCCTCAGACTTCTGAGCAGCTGGGACTACAGGTGCACACCACCATGCCTGGCTAATTTTTTTTTTTTTTTTGTATTTTAGTAGAGACGGAGTTTCATCATGTTGCCCAGGCTGTTTGCGAATTCCTGAGCTCAGGCAATCCACTTGCCTCGGCCTCCCAAAGTGTTGGGATTACAGGTGTGAGCCACTGCTCCTGGCCACTTTTCCCTTTTCTTAAACATGAGAAGCCTTTCTGTAATTTGCACAAAAGCACCACGTGAGCTACCAGCAGCCCTGGAGTCAGGAAGTAGCTTTCTTTTAAATATGAAATGGCAGAATGAGGAAAATTCCAGCCAACTCGTTAGAAAATAAAAATAGGCAACAAGTGTGGCATAAGATATGAGAAATGACACTTGAATGTGTTTTTTTTTCCGAGGCCAAAGAACTCTCTTATAAAAATTCTCAGGAAATGGAAATATTCATTCAGTCATTAATCCAGGGCTGACTTCTCCATTAGGCAAAAAGGCATGGTGTCTACAGCCCATGATACTTTTAGAGGCCCATGAAAATGTTTTAACGTTTTTAAAATCAGAAAAGATAAACTTTTAGATGGAAAAATTGTTGATGTATTCATCTTTACACCAACACAGTTGTAAAATATAACTTAACACATTTTCTTAATGGGGCAAGGGACTTACAAGGGCAAAATCACCAGGGACTCATGAATGTCATACTGTGGCCCTGTGTCCATTCATTCAGGAGAGCAGCCAGCCAGCCGGTTGGTATGTCATCTGTTAGGACCACCAATAAGTATTATGCAGCTGCTTTGTGCTGAATGCAGGTGGATTAGGGAGAAGAGGATACCTGTGAATGTTTACACAGAAGGGTCCAGAGCTACACAACATTCCTGCAGCACTGCATTTGCTCCTTATGTCTAGAAGAAGAAACTGCGGTGTCAGGGACTATGTGATTGACTGAACGATAGCTGTCGGGCCTGAGCCAGCACCAGCCCTCATCCCAGCTCTGTGCTCTTCCTCTTAATCTTAAAACCGAAATGTGACCCTTCTTCAATGTTTCCTTGGATGACCCACAGAAGCCCCCTCTTTATGCCTCTAAAACAAATATTGCAGGGCTTTTAGGTATTAGAAAAATAGGTCAACACTGATTTGATTTTACTTCTCAAACAATGTTTCTCTTCTGAATTGTTTTCTTTATCTGTGCTTGGGAGTGGTGGGGTGAAGACAGGTGATGGCAGGGATATGTGGGCTCAGAATGAGGAACAAACAGGAAGTCAAGAGGAGAAGGTGATCCAATAACTCTTTTTCCACCAAGGAAGTACATATTTATGGTAAAGTGGCTAGAAAATAGGGCTGTGATAACAGTTGGGGAAAACAGCAAGCTAATCAAAGAACAAAAATACATTTTCGGGAAAGATGTTCATAGGGAGCTTTGGAAAACTCTGACATATTCCTGAGAAACTAGAAGACCACATGCATGTGTAGGGCTGTGCACATGCCCAAGAAAACCAGAGAAGGCCCTGAGCTCTCCCTTCTGGTTGACACTGAGGCTCTGTGCAAGTAGGAGGTGAAGGTTAATGCAGAGTTGTAAAGTGCCTGACTGAATGCTGAAGGCACGTCCCACCATGTACATAGAGACCCTTGATAAAGACTGGGAGATTTTTGGTTACTGGCTTTTAAGAGAACCTGTCTAATTATTAGCTGATCACTGAATTAACTGAGCAGAGACTTTAGTGGCCATATACACAAAAAGTACAGACCTTACAAAATTAGCTCAGGAAAGTGACTAAAAAACAAATAGCAATGGCAACAAAAAACTCTGAAAAGGAAGGAGAATCTCATTTTCAGGATTACTACATTATATTATTTAAAATGCCTGTTTTCAACAAAAAATTATGACACATGCAAAGAAATAAGAAAGCATGTCCCACACACAGGAAGGGAAGCAGTCAATAGAAACTGTCCTTGAAGATGTCTAGGCATTATATTCACTAGAGAAAGACTTTAAATCAGCTATTTTAAATATGTTCAAAGAACTAAAAGAAGCCATGTCTAAAGAGCTAAAGGAAATTAGGGAAACATTGTTTCCCCAAATAAAGAATATCAATAATAAAAATAAGTTACATGTAAAATCCAAACATAAATTCTGAAGTAAAAAGTACAATAAATGAAAGAAAAGAACTACTACAGGAACTTCGCAGATTTGAGCTGGCAGAAGAGAGTATCAGGGAGCCTGAAGATAGGTCAGTTGAGATTATCAAGGTATAGAAATTAAGAAGAATGGAGAAAAATGAACAGTGCCTCAGAGACCTGTGGGACACCAGCAAGCATACCAACATACGCATCACAGAAGCCCCAGAAAGAGAGTATTAAGAGAAAATACCAGGAGTAATCTACACATCTAAGAAGCTTATCAAACCACAAGTAAGATGAACCCAAAGAGAGTCACACTGAGACTCATCATGATCAAACAGTTGAAACACAATGATGAAGGTGGAATCTTGAAGGCAGCAAAAGATAAACAACTCATTACATGCAAGTGATTTTCAATGACATTAACAGCTTATTTCTCATTAGAAACCATGGAGGCCAGAAGGCAGTGAGAAGACATTATTCAAAGCACTGAAAGAAAAAGACTGTCAACTGAGATTCTCTATCTGCAAAATTATCCTTCACAAATGAAGGAGAAATGAAGCCATTCCATGAACAAAAGTGGAGAGACTTTGTTGCTAGCAGACATGTACTCCAAGAAATAATAAAGGGAGTCCTTCAGACTAAAATAAAAAGACACTAGATAGTAACTTGGATGAGGACAGGTGTGTTCAGGGTGGTATGGCCGTAGACTAGACCGTAACTCAAATCCACATGAAGAAATAAAGAACATTGGAAAAGGTAACTGCATAGGTAAATATAAATGTTTTTCTCCAGCATAATTTTATGGTTATTCCATTTTATGGCAATTATACTATGCCATTATATGAATATATCATAGTTTTATTTAATCAATAAAACAAAATGATCCAAAATACGTGGTGGGTCTATTTGTTGGGGGAAATATTAATAATACTGACTTGGTTTGTAGAGGTTGTCTTAAGTGTACTATTATGGGCTGGATTTTGCACCCCCACCCCCACATTCATATGTTAAAGTCCTACTCTCCAGTATTTCAGCATGTGACATGTTTGAGATGGAATCTTTAAAGAGTTAATTAAGTTAAAATAAGGTCATACTGGTGGGCACAATACAATTGATGTCCTTATAAGAAGAGGAAATTAGGACATAGACACACACAGAGGAAAGATCATGTGAAGACACAGGGAGGGGATGACCATCTACAAGCCAAGAAGAGAGGTCTCAGAAGAAACCAGCCCTGTTCACACTTTGTTCTCAGACGTCTATCATCCAGCATTGTGAGAAAATAAATTTCTGATGTTTACGCTACTCAGTCTGTGGTGCTTTGTTATGGCAGCAAACTCGGTACACTTACTGAGTTCCACAGGGAGAGGAAAATACCTTTTCACAGTGCCATTTGAAAAGGAGTATTTAATTTTTGTAATAAGTAAGATTTAAGTAAATGCTCATGAATGCTTTTCCAATTTTTGTTCATCATTTTCGTATCAGAACTCATTTAAAAAAGGATAAAAAAGAATATTAATGTTTGCCTATCAGTAAACATTAAAAAGTATTTCTAGGGTAAATTGATAATTTTCTTCAGAAAAATTCCTGTCGTACATATTGACCTAGGTCCCAGTCCAGTCTTTAAAAGTCTGATGTTTTACTGAATTTGGAAGAGTAACAAAATAAAACCAACAGAGTTAGCCTCATAAGCAAAGCAGAACTGCCAAGATGACATCTGTGTATATGCATGTGGTGTTTATGTTCCATATCAGCGAGATCATCATAAAGTCTCCCTGAGCTAGGTTATTTTGTGAGTATAGTATTTTCTGGAAGAAGTAATGTTTCATTCGATGAGGAGCAAAAGGTGGAAAACCTGATCTTGATCTCCTCTGAGCATGCAGTCATAGGTGTCTGTTTTTCTTTTCTTTTCTTTTCTTTTCTTTTTTTTTTTTTTTTGAGACAGAGGCTTGCTCTGTCGCCCTGGCTGGAGTGCAGTGGCGTGATCTCGACTCACTGCAAGCTCCGCCTCCCAGGTTCACGCCATTCTCCTGCCTCAGCCTCCCGAGTAGCTGGGACTACAGGCGCTGCCACGACGCCCGGCTAATTTTTTTGTATTTTTAGTAGAAACGGGGTT